CATGCATAATTCCATCTATGCATACTTTAGCCACTAATGAAGGTTCCAAATAGCCCACTAGTGACTGCACAATACATTGCTTTGATAACATATCATAACAGAAGTCATTTCAGTACAGCACATACACACAATGTATAACTACTAGTATGTACAAACATTACTTGAGTAGTTTAAATCAGCTATACACCACTCTGTCAGGATTCCAAAAAACTAACTTATGAATAATTTATCGTTGCTTCAGTTAAAATTTTTTAAAAAGCTTTTTGAATGCTCATAGCTCAAAATAATTAGCCAAATTGACTCAAACATCTGCATAGCATAAGGACATTGAGGTATAGGACTTTTTTCCCAAAAATGAACTACACTGTACATATGGTGTTTCAAAAATGACATAGTGAAGCTTAAATTAAATTGTAAGTACATATATTACAATGTAGGTAAACTATAAGATTGATACTAAGCATACGGTTTGAAGCCAAAATTTTAATCTACTCATAATAGAATTGTATTATAGGACACTAATGAGCACTGAGGCAATTGCTGCTACAAACAACAATAACAGTGTGTTTACACAAATTGTACCAGCTAAGTATTACTCCTACATGTACATTTGAAAAATTCATACCACTCCCATATATAAAGAAAGGTGGGTATATTTAGGGTTACAGGATAAAATAACCTTCTGGCATGTTTGCATAACTAGACACACATTCCGTGTGAGTCTGACTACGTAAGACTAGCTGGCATATATTACATGCATACATGTACATGCATGCATTATAATATAAATGTAATTCTTTCCTTAAATATAAGTAGAGAAGAAAACAAAAACAAAAACAGAGCTCAGAAATAAGAATTGGCTTTAATATAATAGTTATTAGTTGTAAAACCAGATTTAAAGAAGCTGAACAAATCAAGTAATAATAATAATAATGATGATAGTGATGATGATGATGATAAAGATGTCGGAGAATATTATCATGTGCTTCATTGTAATCTATACAGTAGTGTTTCCAGAACCCATGTAGTTATGAGATTACTAACCCAACTATAGCCATATCCGGTAGCTTCCTGCTAGCAATCATGTGTTCAGTATCATGATATTTATCACTGACGTATAATATCTCAGTGATACCAGACTGTATGATCAACTTAGCACACTCATTACAAGGATAGTTAGGATACAATGCAACATCCTTTAAAATTAGTTGAGTTCTATCATCAGCTGGTGAGCATCAATGTCACTTATAAACATACCTCCTAATTTGATTTATAAATAAGAGATTGCAATTACATATGAGGAGCAAAAAGATGAAAACAAGTTGAGGCTATAGGGAGCTATGCTAAAAGAATTAAATAAACATGCACACAAATATTGTCAACACACAAGTTGACTCCTACTCACCAACTATTTACAGTTGGCACACACAATGCACATTTGAAATTCAAAATA